AAATTTGTGTTCATAATGCACAGGTTTGAGAATTATGGTAAGCAAGGACAGTTGTGTGGATCAGATGGCTTGCCTCACTTGATCGTGAGTGGGGATTGGAGACACGGGGGTGAGTTCATCACCCCTGGAATTCTTTTCCTATACATTTCTGGATGGATTGGGAGGAGTTGATTGCCATCAGGGATGACAAGAAACCGACTCAGAACGAGATTATCATCGACGTTCCATTGGCCAAAAAGCTTATCTGGGGAGGCTTCATCTGGCCAGTGGCTGCCTATGGAGAGTACTTGAATGGGGAACTCATTTCAGGTAATAATCTCTTGTTACATTTACATTGTGCTATTGAAGATTGATTACAAGCAAAACCTTTGAACATTTGTTTCTGGCACTTGATCGATTCTTCATTATACGTGTAAAATTTGTTTGGTATGTCGTATTAGATAGGAGTTACCATCAGAATGGATAAGATTTTAATTTGTTTTTCTCCACTCATGTCGAGCCTATAGTTCTAATCAAGTTAAAATTGTCATTACATTGAAGGGGTGGGTTGGGGGAGGGGTGTTATGATAAGTGTATTTTATACACTTATTTGGATTTAAAAATATCGACATTCAATAGTTCTTTAAGCAATTATAGGCTAATTTATTGTATATTTCATTTATTAGGTAATGTTTGATGGTTGGAAGTTGAATTGAAAGAAAGAAGCGAAAAAGACGAAAAATGGCGAAGTACAAAATTTGAAGACCAAATTGTAAATATCCAATAGTTGATTTGGACCACAAGACAATACTTTGAAGATTGCTAGGAGTCAATTAGAAGTTAAAAAGGAGTGAAATATGAACAGAATATTACCATAAATCGATTTTCAATCATACAAGATATTTGTTTGTTTCTTAATTAAAACTTAAGACCGATTTTTGGCATAATAAATGTTCGAATTGGAAAAATTTCATTTCTATCAAAATTGTAGCCCTTCGGGTCATGTTAACAACACACTTTGAATCGTTTCAATTGAATATCAGGAGAGAAAGTTATGACCAAAATACTGACTATTGTGTAGAGATAAAATTCGCGCGCAAATGTAACTTTTCTTATTTGATTGGAACTCTTTTGGAAACCAATTTGGACGTGATTTTCAACCAATTTTCGACCCCTACAAATATTTAACAGCAGAATGCATATAAAGGGCCTCTCCAATATCTCTCATATACATCTCATTTTTCAATACTCATCAATTATTATCATCAAATGAGGAAAATTCATAATTTTTGTGAGAGAATTGAGGGGTCTTGCAAGAGCTCAATCAAGTGGAGATTCAAATTTGATTTTGGGCAAAGAGGAGAGGACACAAGTGGATATTTATCAAGAAACTATTCAAGAGATTTAAGATTTCAAGATTCATCTGTATCTTCTCAATTTATCGAAAATTCGAGTTACGTCTTTCCACTTAAATATGATTTCTTGTAATTTTAATATGTTAGACTAGTTTTATATATTGTTAGGGTGAGATGAACCATTGTTATGATATTTTTAGTTTTTAATTAATTATTTGGACTTTAATTTGGATTTATTTGTGGATGTTTATTATCATTTTTATTGTTTTTTTAATTATTTGATCACCAATTGAATTGTCATTGGTTTTTATTGTTATCGAAAGAGACAATAGGATTTAAGCATAATAAAATAAATATTGTAAGGTTTAATAGAGGATAGAGATATATCTCTATACTTTATATAGTTTCAATAGATGTTCTAGCACATGTTAATACATTTATCATGTTTGCATTTTTCATCGAGAGATAAAAGGGTCACATGAGAGAATATATTTGATCGCTATCGAAAGAGATTTTTAATTAAATTAGGAATATTGACCAACATGAATGATTTCAAATTGTCAATTTAATTGTTACAATAAAAATAGAGTAATAAAGGGGATTCGACATCTTAGCAATTCTTTCACAAATTTGGAAAAATCCATTAAATCGCTTTCTAGTTTTATCGATAATTTAGATATTAGTATAGAAAACTCAAAACCTGTTAGCTATTCGATTAAGGTTGCTATTAATTTGAACTCGATCAAATACATAGTTCTCATGGGTTCGACACTCTATTCACTATTTTATTACTTGTTTACGATCCCGTCCACTGGCTGAAAATCAAACGATCAAGTTTTTGGTACCGTTGTTAGGAACTATTGTTTTTGATAAGTTTTAGTTGATTTTATTTTTAATCTGAATTTTACATTTTTTTCTTTAGTTTAGTTTCTTATATTAGAAAAATTATAGTGTTTCTTGCTTCGTTTTTCAGGACATTGTATGCGAAGTTCGAGGACCGATGATCTTACTCAATTTGACTTGAAAATCGAACGAACATTCAACCTTCGGAGAAGACAACAGTTGGAAACACACCAAAAAGAAAAAAAAGAAATAAATGGCAAATGAAAATCTGAATCAAATAGCCACTGGGGCTACTCTAAGAGCCGCACACCGAATTTAGATATAGCTAATGAAAACGTGAGGCTCATGGTTGAATATATGATTTTACTAGTCGTGAAAAGCCAATCTAGTGTTATATATCCGGTGTTTGGTTAAGTAAACTTCCACCTGAGAACAGATGTTATCAACATGTTCCAAAATGCTCTACTATTCTTTGGAAGAGCTACGGAGAATCTCAAGACTCATATATCAAGATTTCTGGACATATCTTCAACTATCAAATATCCAGGGATGTTAAGCGAAGCTATCAGACTAAGGCTCTATCCATACACATTGAGAGACTCAGTAAGGGAGTACTTAGACACTTGTCCACCGCAGAGCATCACTACATAGAACCAACTGAGTCAGAAATTCCTTAGAAAAGGATTGCAAAGCTAACGAATGAGATTACTACTTTCCAACAACAAGATTCAGAATGCTATTCAGAGGCCTGGGAACAAATACAAAGGTTTACTTCGGTAATGCTTACAACTTGGATTGCAGAAGTGGTTTCAGGTGCAATACTTGTACATTGGTCTGAATCCAATTAGTAGGGCAAACGTAGACTTTGCATGCCACGGTTCTATCACAAAAAGAACCACGGATCAGGTCTACCAAATCATAGAGGATTTGGCATTCACCAGTGCACTTTGGCCTACTGAAAGGAGAGTAGAAAGAAAGCTACTGGGGTATTCGAAATTGATTCTTTAACAGCAATTTCAGCACAATTGGCATCATTGGCAAAGAAGGTAGATTAGATGAACACGACCCAACTAGTGGGACCGAGATGCAAACATTGTGGAAAGAGCCACGAGATTGTTGACTATGTTACTTATGATTTCCTTTTGCTCAGACAGTAGAAGATGTGAACTACACTCAAAACTTTTAAAGGTAACAGTACAATCTAAATTCTAATACCTATTACCCAGGCTGGAGTAATCACTTAGGCTTTCAATGGAGTAATAATCAGGAAGCTCAGATCGTGCCATAATAGACCGTACCACCCGAAATTTAGTAGAATGAGAAGAAGTTTTCACTAGAAGGTTTGTGACTAAATTAGTAGAAATATCCACTCAACACATCCAAAGAATGGATAAAACCTTGCAAGTTCAAAGAGTTGCCATCAAGAATTTGGAAAATCAGATGAGACAAATAGTAAAAGTACTTTCAGAGAAACTACATGAAGCATTCCCAGTGATACAAAGACAAATCCCAAACAGTAGGTAATGGTAATGAAGGTTGTGGTTGAAGAGCATATTGAGGCAATAACTACCTGTAGTGGAGTTTAACTGCCAGATATTAATATAAAGAGACTAGTTGCTACAAATGAAAAAGTACATACGACGTTTGAGGAACAATTGAAGGAATTTGAGAAGAACAAAGAAGCAATAATAGAAAGAGCATCAAAGGACCCAAAGTTTAAGGAAATCGTTCTTACTAAAGAATTTGTGCTGCCACTACTTTTTTCACAAAGACTACAAAAGAGAAAACTCGATGATCAATTCGAGAAGTTCCTGAATATGCTGAAAAAGCTCCATATCAACATCTCTTTCATTGATGCAATTTGTCAGACCCCGATGTATGCAAAGTTCTTGAAAGATATGATATCTAAGAAAAGAAAGCTTCCAGACTAGGAAGAAGTGGCATTAACCGAGGAGAGCAGTGCAAGGCTTAAAATAAATTGCCCCCAAAACTAAGGACCTAGGAAGTTTCATTTTACCTATCTCACTAGGCAAAGGATTTTATTTTAATGCTTTATGTGATATAGGTGCAAATGTAAATTTAATGTCTTCGTCTACTTTCAGGAAACCAGGAGTTAGTGAAGTCAGATGATCGAATGTGACATTGCAGTTGGTAGATAGGAGCATCAGATACCCTTGGGGCAAGATTGAGGATGTGCTCATCAAGGTTGGGAAGCTGATATTTCCCGCGGACTTCTTTGTTATGAACCTCGAAGACGACCAAGATATGCTAATAATATTAAGTTGACCCTTTTTAGCAACAAATCGAACCTTGATTGACATGGAGAAGGGTGAGCTAACTGTGAGGGTGGAGGATGCACATGAGATCTTTAAACTATATAATCGATTGAAGCAACCATTAGTATTGGAGGATGTCAAATATGTTGCTAAAGAAGTGGAACAAGGCTCGAAGAAGACAGAGCCTAAACATCTAGGAAGCCTTAGATGAAAGGAGAATGGAGAGTTCAAGGTTTGGAGGGCAAAAAGAGGACGTAAAGCTGAAAATTGCGAGTGTAAGGTTGCAAGATTCCAGTGTGAACTACCACAATCAATCCCTCTATATAGTCTAGCTAAAAACTATAAACTAAGCGCTCATTGAGAGGCAGTGCAATTTTTCTTTTATTTATTTTGCTTTTTGCACCGCATTGGATGTAGATTTATTTTGATTATTAGTTTGCATTAGATTTAAGCACGTTTAAATTTATAAGGTATTACCATCCTATTGTGTTTCCTCTTTGGCCCTTAAATTTATTGGTGGTTACTTCGATTTTTTGGGCTAAGTAACACATGTTCCAGGTTATTTGTTCTTGAATGTTTAGTTTGACTGTTATGTGCATGAATATGACGTCGTGAAACACTCAAACCAACATAGGCCAAGAGAAAAGTAGGATTATCTAGTCGTCACCCATAGTGCCTCACACATTCAACATACAAATTTGTGGAGTACATTCTTAATTCTTACTTTTGCTTTAGGACATTGAAAGACAATGTCAGTTTTGAGTTTGGGGTGGAAAATGCTTCGAGTATTTTTGTGTGTTTGTTTTAGAATACAAATAAATAAATAGATTCTTTTTTATTAGGTTGTGTGTTTATGTGGGTTAGACAGCCTAGCCGACAATGATGATTTAATTTGAGATTTGATGTCTGTTTATGAACTATGGATAAGATACATGCTAAATTGATTAAAACTTAACTTTGCAGAAGTTGATATTATACACGCACAAGAATTGAGTTTTACATCATGATACAATTAGTTGATTCATATGCTGAATAGGTTGGAAGCTTGAATATGGATGCCAAACCCAAACCATACTAAATTATTTATTCTTAGACCGAATTTAGCACAGTTTGGAAGTAGGCTTACTGTTGTAGGAAAATACAAATGTGAATGTAGATTCTTTTGTGAAAAGCCATGTGGATTATCTTAGACTAACAAGATTAAATTGGGCAAAATTCTTAAATTGGAAGTTGATTTGCTCGAACAGGTGTGTGAAAAGGAGCATTGCATTAATCAAGACATATAATTTTTAAAACTTCTCATTGAAACTTTTATGACTCGAGTTATTAAGTCTGTAAGGGTATCTCAAAATCAGAAAAACTAAGTGCATAAGAAGAATAGAAGCAATAAATGCTTTGATTAAACCCTAACGCTTCTTTAAGCAAATTTGACTTTCAATGAAAGACAATTAGCCTAGTCGAGCCTTGGCAGTCGAAACGATCAAATAATTGGACACTGCCGACACCACCTCAGGGTTTTTGGGCATTCTAAGTTCATTGGAGGTGGTCCTATTTCCAAATTCTGACCAGAAATGGGAGTTTCATCTGCATTGGAGTGCGAGCCAACATTTTTTTGATTGTAGATCCAATGCATTCGGGGCTGTAGTTGCTGCTGATATTGTAGGAGCATGTTTGGGTGTTGTTCATGGCTTATTTTCACCCCTTGTCATTGAAGAATCCAGTGGTTTTGTTGGTGGATCGACGGTATTGGAATTTGTGGTTTTTTCTCCCATTCTAGAGAGATGGGAGAGCTTTTTAGAGAGAGTAGTTACAGGTACGATTTAATCGTATTTAAAAGTTATTGTCCAAAGAGGTCGCAACAGTTAACAATGGACAATTTCACTTTAGTCCTCTTGTTGTCATGAGTCCTAATCAGTTGATAAATCTTCTTACTTTCTGCATTTTAATTGTTCTTGAAATGTATCTGTAACTTATTTTTCTCCAACAATGTTAATACTCATTGGACTACAAAGAGAGCAATCTTACAGGAAAAGTAGATCTTGGCTCTTCTGAGCTTACATTACGAGGCTAGTACTCAGCCAGTGGGACAAGCTTCCATATAGAAGGAATTAATATAGGTACAATGAATCGTATAATGTAACAAGAGAACAAAAAGAATAAGTTGTCTGTCTTAAAACCTTTCAAGGTATTAATGTGGACTTGTTTCCTTCCGCATCATAGATTTATATATAGGGCTATTTGTCAAAGACGAATACACTGATTTCCTCTTCTGATGCAGTTGCTCCTTCAAATTGACAATCTTTGCATCCACTCTTGCAGAAAATCCGATTTGTGTCATCTTTTTTGATTTCTCCTGCTCCTTCAGCCATGATGGACTGTCCGTTATATCCCTCCTGTGCCGCTTGATTTCTTGGATCACGTGATCATCCATCGGATAGAATGACCGTTGGATGGTGATGTGGATGAAGTATGGAAAAAGTGCAACGACTAACACAAGCAATGTGAGAATCCAATATGTAAATGCAGGCCCAATAGCTTCAGTGAAGATGCCAAATACATTTCCTGAGTATACTGGGGGAAACAATCCATACAAATAGAGAAAGATATACCAGCACAAAATGCTCCCCCAGATGAGGACATGGCTAATCCAAGTGAAGTGTGAAATCATGAGAACAATTTGACAGTTTACTGTCCAGATTATGCTCGTATATGTAATCGTACCAATATGTTCGATGTCTGCCACATTCCCATCTTGATCAAAAGCAGCTGAGGACAATATATAGATGTTCAGTGTGAAGATAGCCAGAGAAGCCAAAATGCCGTTTAATATCCAACCAACGATGCGCTTCCAACTGAAGCAGATATTCTTTTGTCCCTGCTGATAGAGGGCTGGAAACTTTACGTGTCACAAGGAAAGTGAGAATCGAGTCAGAATAATTGTCAGAACATATTATTATTGTGTTTTGAGGAAATCTGTGTTGCATTTTGTGTTTTACCTGCAAACAGACGCTGGACGAAACATCCTGCTCAAGGACACCGAGAGATATAACTGGCAAAGATGTCAATAGTACATTGAACATGACCATATACCAATCATCGTATAAATCCTGCCCTGAGAAACCAGTGTAAATGTCGTAATAGAACAGCGTAAGCCCAAATGCGATGTTTTTATACACGAAGTAGAGGATCTGTGCAGAGAACAAAAACTTCTCACATAAATTTTCAGGTAATGGTGAACCAAAATTTGTAGTTTAGATTTAGAAGAATAGAATTCTTACCATCTTGGAGATCCTCCTGTAACACCAATGCCCATGAACTATTAGTAAGCGCTCCAAAAAACGAAATTGAGGCAATGAAAAGTCGCTTGCCATTACAGCCTGAAATTAAGTTCAAAGCTACTTCTGTAAGCATTCTTTTCACATTGAACTTCAGAGAAAAAAAATTACAGAGAAAATTCCATCAGCAGTTGACAAGAGAAAAAGCTATTGCCTGCATTCCTTCCATGCCGCTGATTCCAACTCCAATATCAGCTTCCTGGATCATGCCGACATCATTAGCTCCATCACCGATTGCCAAGATTGTCTTTCCAGAATGCTGTTTTGCCAATCGAGTAATCTATACATTTCTCAATGAACAAAACAGATTAGTAAGTGATCTTCTGTAAGAAAAAACAATAATTCCAAATGAAACCAGACGACTCAATCCTACCAAGGCTTTCTGTTTGGGAGAAACACGGCAGCATATGACCACATCGCAGTTCATAGCCAAGGAGAAGAACAGGTGTTTCAGATTGCTACCCAAACTTATCTGAAGAGCTTGGCCATCAACAACTAACGCGAAAGGGGAATCTTTTCTGTCTTCTTGAATAATCATTTGGTTATAACTTTCTATTTGCAGTAAAATTTCTTCTTTGACATCCTGAAAAACTAAAAATGAAGAAAACTTGATCCCGATTCAGCAGTTTCTTTGTATTTCATTTTGCTGTGTAAAGAAATTTTCTGAAGCTAAACCATGCTGAGTTCATTAAATAGAACTGGTATTCACCTTCACTTGGTTAGATTCTGCTTTTGTGCTCAACTTCAAATGAAGCTGTTTCATATCCAGCCGAAGTAAACTGCAAGCATATCTGCCACAATAAATAGAAACTGTCCAGATTAAGAGAAAACACGGATATTTTTTGCTGTACTCCGCAGAAATTCTCATAATACTCAATTAATAATACAATTGAGAGAGATGAAAATCTCACCCAATGTTTATCGCTGTTTCTTTTTTATCACCAGTTAGTAGCCAGATCTTTAGGCCTGCTTGTGCAAGTTTATCAATGCATTCAGGAACCTGGTATCAGTGTTGAAACAAAAAAATGCTCTTATACAAGCAAATCCTGTTGCAAACTATTTAGAGAACAGAAATTGTCTCTGATTAATGAACATGTAGAAGAAAGAAAGAACACTAACCCCCTTCTGCAACTTATCTTCCACTGCTACAGCACCTAGTAAAAGAAAATCTTTCTCAATCATTTCAGAGGCATTCTCGAGTAGTTCTTCTCTTTCTGAACTTATCGTAGCCTTGGCCTTTGTAAATATTGAGTTCCAATCTTCATATTCAGACAACCCAACTCTTTTATATGCAAACACCATAGTGCGCAGGCCATCTTCTGCATAATTTGAAAGATGCAAAGTTGTTGCCTGCTGATATGTTCTACCATTGTCTGCAAGCCTCTCAAAGATGACACTTAGAGCCAAAAGAAATGGAATCAATAAACAATTGGAACCTTTATGGATAATAGATACTTAAAATATGTATGGAGAGAAATTTAGCAACAAAAATCTGTATGCAGAAATATATCTCCACACTTGAGATGCTGAAAAGTCCATGCTGAAGTTTAGTGAAAAATGATGGGAAAGATAGCATGCAACTGAAAACATACACAATCATATATACACAAAATTTTCAAGCAGGGACCTGAACTAAAGTACTCGGTGTAACTTACTCGTCAGCTCCTTTGCAGAACAGAAAGATATCCCCATCTTCATTTTGTACTATCACAGACATCCTCTTTCTGGAGCTATTGAACTCCAACAGATTCAAAAGCTTGTATTCTCTGAATATAATCTTGATGTGTTGGTAAGAAAAATCTAGAAGCTGTAAGAAAAACGACTAAAAGAGAAAAAAGAAGAAGAAAAGATTACTAACACACAGGCCTCACCTCTTCACTACCAATCCTGATGACGGATCAAGCTCTTGAAGAATCATAGTCGACTGAGTTCTTTCGCAAAATTTGAATCCAAATTCTTGTGCTGCAATCAGGAAGGCAACTTCCTCAGGAGACTCTGCCTCATACATCATTCTATCGCTTTGGTTGTTTTCGACAGGAATGCCCGTGTGGCACAAAGCCATGACTCTGAAGAACGTGACCATATCAGTTATATTAGACCTATAGATCCACATTTTGTCCATGAGACGATCATCTCTGAAATTGAAACCCTTGATAATGGATTCTTTCCCTGTAACGGAAATTCTTGAATTTTGAGCCTTTGGATCATCCAACCCATGATTACAATGTAAAATCTCCTTCTCTATGCTAGCATCAGCTGTAGAAAGGTCAAACATTTCAATACTTCGACCAGTAGAATCAGATCCATCCAAGCTGAACCTATGTCTCTCCACATCAATGTTCATTCTTTCAGAAGCTACAAAATCCACTTCATTCACTTCACCCCCATATGAAATACCTTCAATTGAACACTTCCTAAATTCCATTTGATTACAGGTTAAGGTCCCAGTTTTATCTGATAGAATCATTTCTACTTGTCCAAGCTCCTCATTTAAGTTAGATGTTCGGGCTTCAACTGTCTTGCCTGTTATCTCATCATACATACCTAGATCTTTGTTGATAAGCATAGCTTGTAGAACTTTGACAATTTCAATGGAGACATAGAGAGAGATGGGAATCAAGTAGCCATACAAAATAAGGGACCTTATAAATTGCAATAAACCAGAGAGAACAAGATCTGATGGATCAAACAAATCATCAATGTTTTCACGCAAACGAAGATACCACCTTTTTTCCTTCTTAGATTCTGTATATAGTGCAGAGCCAGTGGCGGAGATTGATGAAATTAACACCATCATAGCAAAAAGCACGTAAATCACGTGGTCCATCTTTCTTTCAACCTTGCTACGTTTAGATGGAGCTCTCGTGGAATTTTGCACAGCTTTGGCATCTCGGCCGCTGAAGATCACAACTCCATAAATATATTCTGTATTTCGAAGTTTGGAGTCTCTCAGAAGAATTTGGGTTGGGGACAAGGGATAGGATTCATTTATGAACTCCAAATTCCCCACAAAAGTGTAAAGGCTTGGATTTGGATCCTCACAACGTATTTTGGCTTTGAATCTGCTAAATTCTTCATCATCATCCAGACAAAGTGTGGCTTCTAAGCTTCTTTTGGCCTTCAGATTTGTCTCCCCATCAAGATTCATGGTCTCAACATAACAAACACCATCCTCATAGCTAGAAGATAGGAAAAGAAGATCACCTGGAAAATATTCATTCTTGCTAACTTTGACAACATCTCCTACACACAGTGATTCCCAGGATTTCTGCAGGAATAAGCCATTGCCTACATGAACCTTCACTTTCCGGGAATTTACATTCCTGTCCTGCAACAAAGTGGTTATTCAAATATGAAATGTAAATCATAACCAATCTTGAAAAGAAAAATATCCATATAGTTTTCTTATTCTACCTTTAAAAACCTATGCCAATCTTCAACTGCCTCCTTGAGCATGCTAATTCCCATAACGAACACGAGGGGTGCAATTAAACTTATGGGAGTAAAGGGAGTCCATGGAGTAATAGATAGCACTGCTGCTAGGAGAAAGTACAAATTGGCAACCCTGCAAAATTGCTCTAAAAGAGCTCTTGGCAGAAAGGTCAGAATATTGTACTTGGTAGTGGATACGTAGTTTTTTGGATACCTATGTGGTTTGATCTTGTGAAGCTGAGGTTCATTGCAGAAAACCACCCGAGAAAACCCCGGCTGTCCAAGAAGACTTTGAGTAGGTGAAGCATCAGTAGTGCTAGGCCGCAAGCATGCAAAAGTATACAGTTTGCTCCATTTCACTTTATGTTTCCTTCTCCCTGATGGTCCCGACATTTTTGTTAGTACTGATTTTCTTGGAGCTCCCCAAAATTCATTAACACAACATAATAGTGCAATCTATATTCTTAAAAATAGACCTTAGTGAATCTTTTTATTATGAGCTGTCTCTTGTGGCAAAATGACGATGATTTCTAAGATATACGAGAACAGAAAATAGAATAAAATATTCTTGACCGCCAACAGATAACTTCAAAATTTTGTCTCGTGTGTTTAGAAAGTCATTCTTGGTTTATTCACA